TTTTTTTTTTTTGAGGTTTGTTTTTTTTCATTGTTTTATTGCTTAAAGTATTACAAAGGGTATTACATATGTCTCCTTTTCCCCCGCCCTTGACAATCCCCTGGCCTCCCCTACCCCCCAGTGTCTTATGTCCATTGGTTATACTTATATGCATGCATATAAGTCCTTCAGTTGATCTCTTACCACCTCCCTTCTGCCCCCCTACCCTCCCCGGCCTTCCCACTGCAGTTTGATAGTCTGTTTGAGGCAGCTCTGCCTCTGTATCTATTTTTGTTCATAAGTTTATAATGGTCTTTATTATCCATGAATGAGTGAGATCATGTGGTATTTTTCCTTCATTGACTGGCTTATTTCACTTAGCATAATGCTCTCCAGTCCCATCCATGCATGGGTCCATCTTTACATCTCGTTTGTCATCCTCCCATCTGTGAGTCTGACTCTCCCTTGGACTTTGAAGACTTTAAGGGCAAAAACTGCCTCTATTCATCTCTTTGCCTCCAGTGCCTGGCACATAATAAACACTTAACAAATGTTTCTTAAATGGGTGAACAAGTGAACATGTGAATTAAACAAGGGAGCAGCAGGGTCACTGTCAGACTTGGGAGAGATCAAGGTACTTGACCAAGTGTGTGTGTGTGTGTGTGTGTGTGTGTGTGTGTGTGTGTGTGTTGTCTGAGATGGTGCAGCCAGTGGAGAGGAAGTACTGGAAGATTGAGGAGAGGGTGATGGAGTAAATTCTGAAGCCTTCGGAAGAAGAAGGACAATCTGATTGTTGAGATGGGAGGATAAGAGAGAGGAAAAGATGGAGGTGAGAATCAGAGATGTTGGAAAGTTGAGAGAAAGGTGCTCATGTTGACGACTTCAGTCCAGAGATTTGAGGTCAACTTTTGAGGCAGAGGCAAGCAGAAGGGTAGCATGAGTGGGTGGTGGAAAAAGTTTGGAGCAGACAGTGTGAAACACAGGAGGAAGTGCCCTGGGGGTGGGAGGGCTGTCTGGAAGCAGAAGAGCCTCGCTGATGTTTCCCAACACGCATTTGCCAGTTGTGAGGAGCCATTCACATGATTCTGTTGACTCTCCAGCCACACTTGGCAGCCCAGGTGCAAAAGCCAAGCAAATGGACAGTGGGATCAACTCCAGCCTGGGAGCTGGCAAGGCTGGCACTGCTGAAAGTCAAGGGGTGGGAAAGGGAAATTCCCACATGGGCCATGCTGGGCATCAAAACATGTCCTGTCATTTAATCCTCACAACAGGCCTGCAAGGGAGGTATTATGATCTTCGTTTTTCCCAGGAGGAAACGAGATTCAGAGAATTAATGGCTTGGCCAAAGTCACAACTGGCAGAGTCGAGCTGGGGTTCACATCCAAGGTAGCCTGACTCCTAAACCTGTACTCCTTACACTGAAGCATTTATTGAGTGCTTATTGCATTCCAGGCACTGTGCAAAGCTTTTTTCCATTCATCCTCTTGTTCAGTCCTCAAAATAGTTCAGCAAGACAGGGATGGTCATGAATTTCCCTGTTTTATAGCTGAGCTACAGAAGCTCAGAGAGGTTAAGTTACTTGGCCAAAGTCCCCCAGCCAGTGAGTGACAGAGCCAGCATCAGAAGCAGGAAGTTATAAACCAGTATCATTACCAGTTATTAGAACCTTCTATCAAATTATATACTGACAGATGAAGAGACAAATTCAGAATCTCAGTGGTATGTCTGAGCCCAAAGCTTTTAACTACTACATCTTACTTCTTCCTTTTCTGCAAGTCTTATTTATTCACTGTACTGTTTATTAGTAAAACTTTCAACCATACAAAAGTAGAGAGAATAGTATAATGAACTCATGTAATCAAACCCAGCTTTCACCCTTAATGTTTCCTCAATCTTATTTTATCTATAATTCCCCACACATACTTCTTTTTTTCTGGAATATTTTAAAGCCAGTCATAGTCATTAAGTCATTTCACTCATAAATACTTCAGTAAGCATTTCCAACTGATAATCATTGACTTTCATAATTACCATGCCATTATCATACCTAGTAAAAATAACAATTATTTCTCCCCTCCCCCAAGAGTTTATTTGAGCCAAACTGACACCATATGCCAGGGAGCAAGATCTCAAATGCTCTGGAGAATAACAGTTTTGCAGTTTCTTTTTTAATTTGTATTTTATTGATTTTTCGAGAGGAGAGAGAGAGAGAGAGAGAGAGGGGGAGAAGGAGGAACAGTGATTTGTTGTTCCACTTATTTATGTATTCCTTGGCTTATTCTTGTATGTGCCCTGACCAGGGATCAAACCCTTAACCGTGGCATATCAGGACAATGTTCTAACCAACTGAGCTATCTGGCCAGAGCACAATAATTTATTTTTTTTTTAAATTTTTATTGATTTCAGAGAGGAAGGGAGAGAGAGATAGAAATATCAATGATGAGAGAGAATCATGGATCCGCTGCCTCCTGCACGCCCCACACTGGGGATCAAGCCCATAACCTGGGCATACGCCCTGACTGGGAATCGAACCGTGACCTCTTGGTTCATAGGTCAGCACTCAACTAGTGAGCCACACTGGCTGGGCAATAATTTCTTAATATTATCTAAATCCCAAACCATTTCCAGAGGTTGTTGATTGTCTCACATATCTTTAAAGTTAGTTTGCCAAATCTGATCCAAATAAGGTCTGAGACAGGGCATATTGTTGATTCTGTCTCATCAGTCTCTTTTAATCTATAACAATCGCCTTCCCTCCCATCCTTCTATGCCATTGATTTGTCAGAAAGGCTAAGTAACTTGTGGAACATCACACAGCTAAGAGACAGACTTCTTATTTGCTACTGTCCCAAAAAGTCTGTGTTACTAATGGGAGGAGCTTTACTGTCTGAGACAGGTCTCAGCTGATTAAGGGGGCAAGAAAAGCAGCAGGGAAAATGGTCTGGCTTGGCAAGGAAAAGAGAGAGATGGAAGGTAACAGCAATTACAGTACAGCATTATTTTTTGATTTAATGCTTGCAAGTGGCTGGGCATCCTGGCACTATTTCAGTCAGTTGTCACAACAAACATGAGTAAGTCATACTTATCTCCACTTTAGAGCTAAGGAAACTGAGGCACAGATTGGCATATGGAGTTGCCCAAGTCTCACGGCTAGTATAGGCAGAGCTGGAATAAGCCGATTTAACCCCAAAGTCTATCCCCAAAGTCAATGTTCTTTTTGATTGTCACTAGAGAGGGGACTTTTTAGAAACCTGAGATCTTGAGGCCTCTTGGTTGGGGGAAAGAACCATGGCCTGGGGCCTGGACACCTGGGCTCCATCTTTAGCTCTGCCAAAGACCAGCAATGTGACGCCCGGCAAGCCACACCCACCTTCAGTTTCTTCATCTGCCAAATGGAGCAACTGAAAGGGATGATCCCTGAGTGTCCTTCCCCATCCCCAGTGGCAGGGTTCTTGGAGGAGCTCTTCCCCGTAATGACACAGGCCTGGGGGATGTGCTGCAGGAGAGGAACCACACTCCGTCTCCCCTTTCATTTCCGCATAGTTTGGGCTTGCTTACATGTTTCCTTGGTACATCACGGTGTTCCTTTCCACATGTGTGCTGTTCTCCCTCCAGGCCCCATGACCTCCCTCGGAGGGTGGGGCCCACTGTGCCTCTTCCTCTGGATTTCCCCTCGAGCCTCTGCAGTGCCTCAGAAAGGTGGGGGGAGATCTTATTTCCTTATAGTTTGAGATCAAAGTCATCCTCATAGAAGAATCAGCCCTAATCAAGAGATCAAACCAATAGGTCATTTGATCCAGAGGCTAAAGCCACAGCAGTTGGCAGAAGTAGGTCCATGGGGTCTGGGACATGATGTCGTGCCCCAGATGCCAGGGCAAAGTCCCCTGGGCCTGGCCCATATGCCATGGAAGGAGAACATAGAGTCCTGGGACTCAGCACTCAGGACTGGAAGCCCCACAGGCCTCCTCTCTCTGTCCCCTGGTCTAGACAATTGTTGTGGACAGCTTCAAGGGCTCTGGGGAATAGATGGCCTTAGAGAATGGGACTGTCCAGGGAACATGGGGTGTCAAGAGGGTCTGGAGGGGGCTCTACAAGGATGATCCTGAAACAGAGTATTGAAAGTGCTTTATAGACTGAGATATAATAAACCATTACCATAAGGCCCCGAGAGTGCAAAGCAACAACAAAGAGGCTGCCCAGGTACTAATGAATCCAAGTTCAAGTTTAGGCTCCTCTACATAACAGTTCTGTTACCTTGGGAAGGTTACCTAGCTGTGTCTAGTTTCCTCACCTATAAATGAGAGTTGGCTAGAGTAATGATATCTCTGGACCTTTCTAGCCCTGAGAGTCTTGGGTTTTGAGTGACTGCCCCCAACACTCTATCCCAGCCGTGGGCAAACTACGGCCCACGGGCCGGATCCGGACCGTTTGAAATGAATAAAACTAAAAAAAAAAAAAAAGACCGTACCCTTTTATGTAATGATGTTTACTTTGAATTTATATTAGTTCACACAAACACTCCATCCATGCTTTTGTTCTGGCCCTCCGGTCCAGTTTAAGAACCCATTGTGGCCCTCGAGTCAAAAAGTTTGCCCACCCCCGCTCTATCCCTTGCAGAAAATCGATGGTAGAGGTGGGAGTCCACTTGCCAAGGCACATGGCACATATCTGGCACATGACAGACACTCAGCAAACATTGTTGTTAATATTTTCACAGTCAGATCAGCCGGCATGGCTCAGTGGTTGAGCATTGACCTATGAACCAGGAGGTTGAGGTTCGATTCCCAGTCAGGGCACAGGCCTGAGTTTCTAGCTCGATCCCCAGTGTGGAGCGTGCAGGAGGCAGCCAATTGATGATTATCTCTCATCATTGATGTTTCTCTCTCTCTCTCTCTCTCTCTCTCCCCCACCCCTTCTTCTTTGAAATAAATAAAATATATTTAAAAAGATATTTTTCACACCCAGGGGAATAATACAGGCTGGCATTTACTAAACAGTTACTATGGATAACTCCATGACCTGTGTATTAGCTATTGCTGCATAATAGATTTCCCCAAAACTTAGCAGCTTAAAACAATAATAAACATTTATGATCTCACCCCATTTCTGTGGGTTTCTCAGTTCAGTATCTCCAAGGAGGCTGTAGTGAAGATGTTGCCTGGGGCAGCAGGCAGTTCGTCTCAAGGCTTCACTTCCAAGGTGGCTCACTCACATGGTGGGCAGTTGGTGGGAGGCGTCAGTTCCTCAGCACACATACCTCTCCCCAGAGCTGCTTGAGCATCCTCATAGCATGGTGGCTGGAGAGTGACCCACAAAAGCAAGACAGAAGTGGCAATGTCTTTTATGACCTCGCCTCAGACACCACACACTATCACTCCCATTGTATTCTACTGGTTACATAGAACAACCCTGATACAGTGTGGAGGGGAGCACACAGGAGCATGAATAACAGGAGGCAAGAATTATTGAGGTCCATCTTGGAGGCCAGCTATCACAGTCTGCCCTAAGTGTTTTAGAGCTATTGATTTATTTATTAATTCATGAGGTCAATATTTCTTTCTTTCTTAAATATGTTTTTTATTGATTTTTAGAGAGACAGGAAGGGAGTGAGATAGAGGGACAAAAACATCAATGAGAGAGAAACATATTCAAACAGCTGCCTCCTGCACACCCACCACTGGGGATCAAGCCCACAACCAGGGCACATGTCCTGAAAATCAAATCCATGACCTCTTGGTTCCTGGGTTCATGCTCAACCACTGAGCAACACTGGCTGGGCAATATTTCCATCATCCTTATTTCACAGATTGAGTCACAAAGATATTAGGTAATTTGGCTAAGGTTATATTTCTAGGAAATGGGCATTGTTTTGAACTGAATTGTGTCTCCCCAAAATGTTGAAGCTCTAAACCAGGGGTGGGCAAACTTTTTGACTCGAGGGCCACAATGGGTTCTTAAACTGGACTGGAGGGCCGGAACAAAAGCATGGATGGAGTGTTTGTGTGAACTAATATAAATTCAAAGTAAACATCATTACATAAAAGGATACGGTCTTTTTTTTTTTTTTAGTTTTATTCATTTCAAACTGGCCAAATCCGGCCCGCGGGCCGTAGTTTGCCCACGGCTGCTCTAAACCCTAAAGAGATAATATTTGGAGATGGGGGCCTTTGGAGGTAACTCAGTGATAAGGTCATGACGTAGGGCCCTCATCTGATGGGACTAGTGTCCTTAGAGACACAAGAGAGCCTACTCTTTCTCTCTTCGTGCACATTTGCTGAGGAAAGGCCATGTGAGCACACAGGAGGTGACAACCATGTGCAAGCCAAGAGAAAAAGGGTAAGAATGAAACCTGCCAGCACCTTGATCTTGGACTTCCAGCCCCCAGAGCTGTGAGAAATAAGTTCCTGTTGTTTAAGCCTCAAGCCTGTAGTATTTTGTTATGACAGCCTGAGCAGACTGAGACAGGCCTTGAACTCAGAGAGTTGGGCATCTTAGCTCTCACTCTTTTTTTTTTTTTTTTAAATATTTTATTGATTTTTCACAGAGAGGAAGGGAGAGAGATAGAGAGCTAGAAACATTGATTAGAGAGAAACATCGATCAGCTGCCTCCCGCACACCCCCTACTGGGGATGTGCCCGCAACCAAGGTACATGCCCTCGACCGGAATCAAACCTGGGACCCCTCAGTCCGCAGGCCGACGCTCTATCCACTGAGCCAAACCGGTTTCGGCATCTTAGCTCTCACTCTTAAATTTTCCTTCCCTCTACGGCCCTAAGAACAGTGGTCCTGACTCAGCTGTCTGGTCCTTGGGCTCTGGGGAGAGACTCTTAATAACATGGGGCCAGTCAGCACTGGGAAACTTAGAAAAGAAACTGGATGCCCGGCTGGCGAGGCTCAGTGATCGAGCGTCTACCTGTGAACCAGGAGGTCACGGTTTGATTCCCCGTCATGGGACATGCCTGGATTGGGGGCTCAATCCCCAGTGTGGGGCGTGCAGAAGGCAGCTTATCAATGATTCTCTCTCATCATTGATGTTTCTCTCTCTCTCTCTCTCTCTCTCCTTTACCCTTTCTCTCTGAAATCAATAAAAATATATTTCAAAAACACAAAAGAAACTGGAGGAAGCCTCATGGCAAACTCAAAGCCCCGGGCTCAGTACTGACCCAGAGGTTCAGGTGCTTGTATCCTAGAGAGACAGTCTTGGGGGTCAACTGCCCACTCCACCTGGCCTGCTATTCCCCACCCCCACCAGCTTGAACCTCAGGTTTACCACCACACACACACACACACACACACACACACACTGGATGATCCAGATCATACGCAGTAAGCAGGAGGAAAACAAACTATATTTAAACTGGCAGTTGCTCCATACACAAAGCTAAAAGACAAGTAAGTGACCCTTGGGAGAAAACAGTAGAAACACTGGTAAAGACCAAGTGTCAAGCCCCACAATACACTAAAATTTTAAAAACAAGCAAAGGATACAGAAAAGGAGATTCACAAAAAAGAATAAATGCCAGTGCCTCCTACCCCCAAAACAAAACAAACAAAACAAAGGTGCTTGTCCTCACTAATGTTAAAAAATCTCATTAAAACCACAATAAGATCTGATTTTTCTTCTATCAGATTGACAAAAATACGAAACAGTAATAATAGCCAAGGATGGTGAAGGTATAGGGCAATGGACACTGCTACTCACTTGACCTTGGGAGGGTGCAATTTGACAAAATCAAAATGTAAAATATTAATACATGTGCCTTAGTAGTTTAGTCTGAGAAATCTATCTTATCAAAAAACTAGAGCCCTGGCCGGTGTGGTTTAGTGGGTTGGGCATCATCCCATGCACCAAAAGGTTGCTGGTTTGATCCCGGTCAGGGCATATGCCTGGGATGCAGACTTGATCCAGAGTAGGAGGTATGCAGGAGGCAGCTGATCAATGTTTCTCTTTCCCTCTCCTTTCCTCTCTCTTTCTAAAAATCAATAAAAATATATTTAAGTATATACATATTTATTTTTTAAACTAGAAATATGACAGAAAGAAATAGCTAGCTAGATATTCAGATCTATAGATTATTTTTATAATTTTTAAAATTTTTCAACTACAGTTGACATACCATATTACATTAGTTTCAGGTGTACAACATAGATCTATTCACATACAAAGATGTTTTTTGCAATATTGTTGGTAGTAGCAAAACCCTGGAAACAACCCCAACATCCATCAGTGAAACAAATAAATGGTCCTGTGGTCACATAGTGAATACTATACAGCAATGAGAATGAGTAAGTATGGCCACATGCAACAACATAGATGAATCTCATAAAGAATGTTGAACAAAACTGTACGTATTAAGTAATTCTGTCATTATAAAGTTCACAAAAAGCTCACACTAACCTAAGCTGGTAGAAGTCAGGATCCTGTTAACTCAGTAGAGAGCAGGAAGGGGGAACAAGCGGGATACGGGCTTGCTGGTAATGATCTGTTCTCCTTAAAATATGTACTTTTTTAAAAAATTGATTTCAGAAAGGAAGGGAGAGGAAGAGAGAGATAGAAATATCAATGATGAGAGAATCGTTGATTGGCTGCCTCCCGCACCTCCCAACTGGGGATTGACTCTGCTCCAACTCAGGCATGTGTCTTGACCAGGATTGAACCGTGCATGACCTCCTGGCTCATAAGTTGACGTTCAACCACTGAGCCACACCAGCTGGGCAATAATGATCTGTTCTTGACTTGGGTTCGGGTTTTGCAGGCATATCACTTTGTGAAAATGCCTTGAACTGTGCACTTATGAATCGTGCCCTGTTCTGAATGCATATTACACTTAAAAAAAAAAGTTTACTAAAAAATAAAGCAAAAATGTACCCCAATAAGCATTTCAACTGTCTATAGCAGTGGTTCTCAACCTTGGCTGCACATTAGAATCGCCTGGGAATCTTTTTAAAATCCTGATTTCTGGGCCTCATCCTCCAGAACTACTGTTTCTTTGTTACTAATGTTGTGGCCTCACTCCACAACAGATGTGTGTATGTAAATAAATTTATATATTAAAAATTTTGTACTGGCATAGAAAATGGCTGGGGGAAAATCCCCATGTTAAAAGTCACTGTTTTTGCCCTGGTTGGTTTGGCTCAGTGGATAGAGCGTCGGCCTGCGTACTGAAGGGTCCCAGGTTCGATGCCAGCCAAAGGCACATGCCTGGGTTGTGGGCTCGATCCCCAGTAGGGGGCGTGCAGGAGGCAGCCAATCAATGATTCTCTCTTATCATTGATGTTTCTCTCTCTCCCTCACCCTTCCTCTCTGAAATCAATAAAAATACATTTTAAAAAATACATTAAAAAAAAAAAGTCACTGTTTTTTTTGCCCAACTGGCATGGCTCAGTGGTTGAGCGTCAACGTATGAACCAGAAGGTTACAGTTCGATTCCCAGTCAGGGCACATGCCCAGTCCAGTGTGGGGCATGCAGGAGGCAGCTGATCAACGATTCTCTCTCATCGTTGATGTTTCTATCTCTCTCTCCCTCTCCCTTGCTCTCTGAAATCAATAAAACTATATATATATATATTAGTATTTTTTTAAATATACATTTTTTATTGATTTCAGAGAGGAAGGGAGAGAGGAACATCAATGATGAGAGTCATTGTTGGCTGCCTCCTGCACGCCCCACACTGGGGATCGAGCCTACAACCTGGGCATGTGCCCTGACCAGGAATTGAACTCATGACCTCCTGGTTCATAGGTCAACACTCAACTACTAAGCCATGCCGGCCAGTCCATTTTTTAAAAGTCACTGTTTTGTATGGAGCTTTCTCAAAAAAACTAAACATGGAACTCCCATTTGACCCAGTGATCCCACTTCTAGGAATATATCCCAAGAAACCAGAAACACCAATCAGAAAGGAAATATGCACCCCTATGTTCATAGCAGCACAATTCACCATAGCTAAGATTTGGAAACAGCCTAAGTGTCCATCAGCAGATGAGTGGATTAAAAAATTGTGGTACATCTACACAATGGAATACTATGCTGTGGTAAAAAAGAAGGAACTCTTGCCTTTTGCAACAGCATGGATGCAACTGGAGAGCATTATGCTAAGTGAAATAAGCCAGTCAGAGAAAGATAAATACCACATGATCTCACTCATTTGTGGATTATAGAGAACAACATAGACTGATGAACAGGGACAGATCCAAAGACAGAGAAACAGCGATCAGACTATCAATCCCCAGAAGGAAAGTAGGGGAGGGAGGGGGTAAGAGGAAGAGATCAACCAAAGGACTTGTATGCATGCA